TAACATAGTCACATTCACATTTCAGGAAGTTTCCTCCAGAAATAAGGCTCTCAAGGAAGGGTCTGTGTGGAGGGCTCAGACGCTTCTCTAGGGGCTGGGGAGGCAGTCAGTGCAAGTGTGAGGACCCAAATCTGACCCTTTGAACTTTTAACAGGCCTGGCAGACAGGAAAATATACTTGTGTCTGCCAGTCTGATGATCAGGCAACTCAAACAATCAAACAATGGCCCCGAAGAAAAGAGAACTTCCCCAGGCTCATGCTAGGAGAAAGAAAGAGTACCAGCCAGAGGGGAAACTCGAGATTTCACACAATTGTAACACTTTACAGGATGGGACCAAAATCCAGACAATGATGGGTGGTCAATGGTGGGCAGGACTGCTCACATGTGTACATCCTTGGACCTTTATTTAAATTTTAATCAGGACCCAGAAAAGACAGGCTTGGGGGCTGGATCTTTGTCCCTCTTCACATCATGGCCACATGGAACACACCATTTTCTGCCTTTTCTTTTTAATTGGCTCTTTTACTTAGCTTATTAAGGATGGGTGGCACAGGTTACGACTCAAAGATGTAACCCTCATGAAGAAGTGGGGCGTAGCCTGTAACCCCAGTACTCAGGAAAGCTCCTGAGTCTTCACTGATCAGTAAAATTAAATAGTTGGGATTTTCATTTAAAAAACAAAAACAGGGAACTGTTGTTTTAAGAAAGCATGACTGAATATATATATATATATATATATATATATATATATATATATATATATACGTTTCTCTAGTGTGCTGTGATTTACCAGTGCTTCCTATAAGGAGAAAGTGTTCCTAGAAATTATATAAACCTTTTTTTACACACTGAGAAACAAGTGGCAATCCTTCTCAGAAATCTATAAGAAGAGAAACCAGCTTCTTAGACACATTAATCCAGGAGTGAAAAGCCTACATGGTGCATCATTGCCACCAAGGAACTTGGTAAGGTTTGGCAGAAGAGACAGAATTCTTTTTCCTTAATTTTTAAAGGGGTAAAAGGCTGGGACCATGAGTTTGGATCCTCACAATCTACCCAGTGGACAAAAGACACAAAGAGAATAAAGGGGTCAGAAACAAGAAAGAGATGACTTACAAGCAGAAACTGTTCTCTACAGCCACGGGACTGAGGCTAGTGACACCTGGGACAGACATGGAAATGTCTGAAAGACCAGGCACGCTTCTACACTCAGAGCCCATCGCTCATGTGGAACCTGTTCATGCTCCCCTGCCTTTCCAATACACTACCATACATAACAATAAAATGGATCAATATCTAATCAAAGTGCACCATCGGGTGTATCGCAGGCCTTGAACTGTCATCCTTGTGCTCCAGTCTTCCGAGTCACCACACCCAGCTTATTAACACCTAGTAGGTGGGGCTTGACAGATTCAGCAGCTGTCTACCTTTCAGGGAGGACCACCAGCTCACCCTACTATAGTAACGATCCAAACTGCCACTTCCAAGGGGCATGGACCACCGCAAAAACACAGACCAGATTCAGGTAGATTGCTGGGCACAGCTAGCTTCATCAAGTTTCCCCTAAAAGTTGGAGACGTTAGGGAAAACCTTTTACTTTCTGACTAAATGATGGTGGAACAGATAATGGGGATATCTTTTCATTTTGTCCTTGTCAGTTTTTAAAGCACAGTAGTTTACTTTAGCAAATTTAAAGTCTAGGTGTCGAAAAGCAATCATTTCTGGCACAATTAGGGGTTTACATGGGGTGATGAGATTGAAACCAGGGCCCAGGGCACCTCTAGCTCTGTGGTAACTGGCTTGGTGGTATAAGTGTGTGTATGTGCTGGTGTTACACACGTGTGTGTTCTATCCGCCTTATTCTGCCGAAGGATCTTTACCCGCAGCCTGACAGCTTGTGTAGGCTGGTTGGAAGCTTCAGGGGTCCTGTCTTCCCTCCCCAGGGCTGAGATTATAGGACAGGAAATGTGAATTCACATTGTTATGCCTGCATGGTAAGCACTCTACCCGCTCTCCCACATCTCTACCCCTGTTTAATTATTTTAATGGCTTAGCCATTGTTCCCTCTCAGGAGCTGCATTTGAAGATAAATCTTGCCTACTGTCATTAACTACAAGGAGAGAAGGGTTAAGGACCTAAGTCAGGCCTTATCAGAACTAAGCCGCTTGAAAACACTCCTGCTGTTCAAGAATAAAACATGGAGCAGGAGCCAAAGGAGACAGCACCCAAGCCTCACCTTACCTGCACTACATTTTCAAGCTTACCACACGTGGTAAAACGCATAAAACCAGGGGCCTCCTTAGGTCACACAGGCAGTGCAAGCTGTACGGTCCATCTTCAGTCTGCATGCTCTTGCACAGCTCCTGACAAACTGCCTTAACAGTGCTAGTCAGCCCGACCTCCCACTCCCAGACTCCCAGCACCAGCGCTTACTGATCCTAGTGTGTAAAATCCCAGACCTCCATTAAACACAGGTACTGTCTGTTAGGAAGGGGGAAGGGAGAAGAGTTCAATAGTACGTTTGTTGTCCATGTCATCTCCATCTTTTCTCAGAGTGAGGAAGTCACACCTCTACCTCTTAAACGTGAGAGCAAATGCATTTTTTTTTCTACCCAAAATCTAAATGAGAGTCTGTACTGCAAAAATGGTCAGTTCATTCTTCTGGAACCCCTATGGTGGGTGTCGCAACCTCCTGTAACTCCAGTTCCAGATCCTGACACCCTCTTCAGAGCACCCTCTTCTACAGCACACAGGCACGAATACACACACACACACACACACACACGAACACAATCTTGAAACAAAACAAAACCAGCCAGCTTTCAGAAGGACACAGAGCAGGAAGTCTAAATTCTTAGTTTCCCCTCTCCAAGTCCCCGCTCCTAGGATGGGGTCAGTGGCAGGAAATGCTGGCTGTGGAAGGCAGATTTTTCTCACTCAGATTCTGCTTCAAGGCCTAACTAAACCTCCAGACTGAAGCTAGGGAACAACAGACACCAAAATGTAAGGAAGAGTGTTCAAGATCCGAGAAAGGAGCAGACCACCTGTGCAAAACAGAGCTGAGCAAGGCCAGGCCTTGGCAGTGTTTGCCGAGGCAGAAATTCACGTGCACGCTTCTCACCACGTGAGCGTACTGTAATCCTTTTATAGCAAGATTCCAGGATCCCGCCTGATCCCAGGAACTCCCGGGGGGTGGGGGCGGGGGGCTACTGAAGTCATCAAAACATAGCTGCAGGCTGGTTTGCCTTTACTTTAAGAGCTGGGAGCCTCCCGTTCTGGGCGCCGGAAAAGCCTTTGTTTCAGGAATTCTTCCCCTCAGGCAAGGCTTTACTAATTTTCACTTCAAATTCTGCCTAGCCAAATTTCAAAAGTGTCCCCAAGCACTCCAATAAAGACTGCAGGAAAATAAACAGGTCTGTCCCTTCCCGGCAAACTCTCTGGCCCCCAGGACAGTATCAAATTACTAGCGGGCTCCTCTAAAACTCGGTCTTCTCTTTCTGTCTAAGCTACTCACAATAGGGAACTATTGTGCAAACACCTTTTCAAATACCTTGCAAAAACATCGCCATTCAGCCCTTTCTCTAAGAGGCTCTAATAAATGCTATTTAAAAAATAGTGAGGTGACTGAGCAACTTAATTTAAAAAACAAAAACGTGGCTGAATGATCTCCGGTGGGACCAATTAAGATTAGTGTAGAAGGGTGACTCGAACAGGCGCTCACGACACTTTAAACAACGGGGTAGATTAGCACCTGTCCTCTCCGGGGGAGAAAAGCAGCCAGGGAGAAGCTGCTCGGAAGCTGTTTCTCATCTGCCAGGCTCACGGCTTGGTTAACTTTATTCCCTTTTTGATTTTCTGAAGTAGTACTTGCCAGATGCACAATCAAAACTGCCTTCCGAGAAAGGCTTTGTAAGAGAATTTAAAGTTCAGTGGATTCCCAATAAGTTATTAAAACTCCTGTTACGGTACTTGCAAATGGCTCAGTGTCTTCAGCTTAACTGAAGAGGTTAGTCCTTCCAGTGAGATGTTTACAACCTACACCGAGCCCCATTCAACTGACCTTTTAAAGTGACCTGCTTTTGTGGGAATTTTTTTTTTTTTTTAATTTTAAAGAAATGAAAAACATTCTGCAGTCCTAAGCTGAACTTCGTGTCCCGGGAACGAAATGCAGGCAACCGCATCCGAAGGGCTAATCCCTTCCGGCTCCTGCAGCAAGAAGCAGTCGGCCTGGGTGGGCAGGGACCGCTCGCCCCGCGCCCACTCCCGCGCGGGCTGGAGGTGCAGCCTGCGGTCCCCGCCCCGGCTCCACGGCCGCGGCGGGGAAGAATGACACGCGCAGCTGTGGGCGACCCGGCGGCCACGCCGCCGCCGGCTGCCTCTTTTAGCTCGCCATCCGAGCCGCTCCCGCCGCCGCCGCCGCCCCTCCCCCACCGCGGCCGGGCCCCGCGCCACCCCCACCCGCCCGCGCGCGGGGGCCCCCGGGCGTGCGCGGCGGCCGCTCACCTCCCTCCTCCGGCCCGCTGTCCAGCTCGGCGTCCGAGGACCCGGGCCCGTCCTCGTAGCCCGCCAGCCCCACCAGCTCATCCTCCTCCTCGTCGTCGCCGCCGTCCTCGCCCGGCGGCTGCGGCTTGCCCAGCACCTGGCTCATCGCGCCCACGCTCGCCCCCGAGGTCGCGCGTGGGTCGAGCCGCCTGCAGCGCCCCCGACCCCCGGCCCGGCCCGGTGCGCACAGGGGGCGGCAGCGGCGCGCAGCCCCTCCCCGCCGCGGCCCGAGGAGCCAGCCGGAGCGCGCAGTTCTCCCCGGGAGCGCGAGGGAGCGACTGCGTGACCCAAGTCACCTGACGCCTGTCACACACACATACACACACACACACACACACACAGACTCACACACGCACGCACTGCCGGGCGCGCGCCCGCCCGCCGCAGCCACCGCTTGCTTGGCGGAGCGCCCGCCCGGGCCACACACACACACGCGCGCGGTCCCCCCCCCCACACACCCGCCGCCCCCCGGGGCTGTGAGCGTGCCCCCGAGGCGAGCCCTCGCCGGGACCGCAGCGCCCCCGGCCTCCACCCCCGCCCCGCAGCCTCGGGCCCTGGAGTCCCCAGCCCCGGGAAAGGCACGGTGGCAGGGGACTTCGCAGCAGTTGCCTCTCTGCCCTAAGGACTTCCCACAGGAAGACGCCAAAACCTGCACATGTTCCCAAAGAAACCACACAGCTCGCGGTTACAGACAAACATCCTACGCTAGGTAGCTCCTCTGCAGCCCTCGGGGGGGACTCAGGTGGGTAACGCACCAGGGCTTTTTTGTTTTGTTTTGTTTTGTTTTTTTTGCCAACTGCTTGTGCCTCGCTGCTGTGGTCCCGCGTAAACGTCTCGTGCCTTTTGTGGGAGGCGAGGGGCAGCTCTCCGATTAGAGCGGCAGCGATGTGGGATGAGGAGGTGCCCTCCTCCTCCGCAGGCTTCTCAGCGCGGGACACAGTGTACCCACCCTTTCTGGAGAGAGGGGGAGAAGGGAGAGAGGGGGGAGGAATTAGTCACGTGCACGAACTTCCTTCAGTGAACACACAAGCAGCACGCAGCGGTCCAGCCAGGCGATCCGGATCGTGCAGGTGCCCGCGCTCCGGCAGCCGGTGGGGCGGAGAGAGGCAGCTCAGCCCGGAGGCCCGCGGCCCGGCTTACTAGGGTTACTAACCATGACTCATGTCCTCGATTTCTTCTAGGTGGGTGGCTGCTCTATTCAGGAAAGGCCCTAGCTTCCTGAAGGGGACGCAGTGCAACTCCGCGTGGCTGCGTGATCAAGGTCGGTTCTGTGACCGATACAGAGATGTTAAACTGAAAAGTCGTAATTTAGGCGAAGAAACGTTTTGCGGAGGTGTGGGCAGAATGTGGGAGAGACAAGGATTATCAGGTGGGACGCTCACACCGCCTCCAGCTGGAAGAAGCGAGGCCTTAAATTCAGTCAGGCGGCGGCAGATAACAGAGGAGGGCTCGAGCCTCTCCGCTGTCTCGGTGCACTCTCTTGGAAACGCCTGCCATTGGTCCAACACAACCAGAAACCATTGGGAAAGGGAGAGTGAAACCAAGGGGAGGACGGAGGGTGAACAGGGAAGGCAGAGCCGCTGAAACAGGTTCTCCTCGCTCTTCCCCACAGGAAGCCGCCTGTTTCGAACCTCATCTGAACACCTTCGCCACGGAGTTAGTCTACAGTAACCGAGAAGAAGATTCCCATGTGCTCCTAGAACTCCCTTCTCAGATTTTCCCTCCTATAGAGAAGAGAGCGGGCTTTGTGGCTCACAGTGGCCTGCTCTCCAGCGCCCTGGCAGACCCTGTGTGCAGCAGCAAGGCCTCTGTGAATCTCTGTATCGGAGAAGGAAGCTGTGGGGAGGAAACAGGCTGCTTCCCCAGAGTAGCTGTAAAGATTCGCAGCTCTCCCACATCTTGCTTGCTAGTCTCGGGAGGCCTCCGAGCTGGCCCATTTCAAGCATCAAGAGGTCGTTAGGACATCAGAAGAGGGCTGCCAGCAACAGCTTAGATTCAGACCACTCACATGCCTCCCTCCCCCTCAAAGACAGAACCAGGCTGGCCTCAATCTCAGAGAACCGTCTGCCTCTTCCTGAATGCTGGGATCACAGGACACCATGCCCGGCTTAACCTGTATTATCAATCTCAGGTTTTCTTTTCCTTTTTCAGTGAGTCCAGGACAGCCAAGGCTACAGACACCCTGTCTCGAAAAAACAAAGCAAAAAAAGAAAATATAGCGCGGTGCTGTGCTGTGCTTGCCTAGTAACTGGAAACCCTGGCACCAATCTCAGCGCTACACTAAATAAATGAGTAAATCTAAAATGAGGTAAAAAGGAAATAATGACAGCATTCCTACAGAAGGTAAAGGGGCAGAGATAGCACAAGAGGCACACTTTCTTCGTTGCTTTGCCGTTCTCTTTCTCTGAGAAGACTTCCCAGGGCCCGAGGTGGCCTCAGACTTGTTCTGTTGATCTGGGGCATGCAGGAAGCCTGAGGTTTAATGGACTGCATAAATTACCCAGCTTATGGTTGGCCCCAGGTGTGATCTGGAAGTACAGTCAGGAGGATCAGATTTGGTTTCAATGTTGTTGTCTTTTTTCAAGACAGGGTGTTGGAGGTTGGTCTGATACTAATTACTGGCCCTCTGTGTAAACCTGCCTAATTCATACTTGATTGACCAAGTAAACAGCCTATACCTGGGCAGGGCAGAATGGGTGGGCGTGGCTAAAGTCCCAGGGCTTTGGAGAATCCCATGAGAAATCACAGGAAGGACAGAGAGGAAGAAGGAGGATGCCAGGATGGGTTAGCCTGGAAAACACACCACGTGGGCCGAGAAAGAACTCCAGTAATGGCGTGAAAAGGCTCAGATGGAGAATATAAGCACGTACCATGGGATTATGGATGGAAGGTAGTCCAACTGAGGAGGATTAAGGCAGATGGCGTTGGTTGGGGGCTGGGAGATGGATGGTGAGGTTTCTGAGACTGTATGTAAGTGAAATATCTGCCCAGCCCAAGGTAAATAAGGCAATTATAAATCTAACAGGTGTCTGTGTCTCATTTGTGATAGTAGGTTAAATAATACCGCCGTGATAATCATAGGGCTAATAATAAAGTTTATAGCCCAACACATTTTTAAAATTAAGTATAACACCTCCTCTAATCTTTTAGGGACTTCCTCTCAGGCCAAGCCAAGATCATGGCTTTAAAGCAGAGGGGAATTTCAGGACTAGCCAATAAGAAGGAGAGCTGGGGGTTATTTTTATCCTTTCTGGGGGCAGTCAGGATCAGAGTTTCTTCTACACAGCTCTAACCTGCTATCTAAATCAGTTTGGCCTCAGACTCACAGAGATCTGCCCAGAGTAAAGATGTGACCTTAGCACAACTGACTACACAATGGAAGTACCATTCAGGCAGTAGAACTCAGCACTTAGGCGGTTCTACCTGCCAAGCACAAGCAAAGGCCAAAGTCTGTAGTTCTAGGAAAGTCTCTAAATGTTCTTGTTGGGTCTCAATCCAAAACAAACAGGTAACTAAGAACCTGAGTAACATATCTAAGTGGATCCTGGCTGCCAGGTTCTCCCAGCATCCTTCAGTCCCTACCTGTGCATACCTTGCCCCTAAACTCCAGTCCAGGGTGTGGGCTGGGCTTGCCCTTCCTCCAGTGGCTCTTCCCTATATAATTCAGCCATTTTGGTTATGCTGTTCCTTCTATCTTTTACCTTTTACCCCCCTGGCCTCTAGATCTGGCTTTCCCATTTCTCCCTTTTCCCATGGCCTGGCTCAGGATCATGTCTATTCTGCTATCTCCCAGTTGTCTCTGCCTCTGGCTATGCCCTCCCTTTTACCTACAATAAACTTTCCGTAATACTTAGGAGCAGTCATGTTCTTCCTTTTTCTTTTTTCTTTCTTATTTTCCTCCATTCATCACTAATCTTTCTTTTTGGCTTCTGTAGTCCTGCTTCTGGCTAGTTGTTCTTGTTAACTGAAGTATGTCAACCCAGGACATGGCTTTTGTGCTTAAAAGCTCACTGTGAGAAAGGCTCAGTGCTTCACTGCTATTCTGAACACCCAGTGGAGTCCCGGATACCTAAAAAGACTGTCTAGTGACTTAACCCCACGTCTGAGCAGTCTTCTCTGAATACCCAACAACAGTTTTGTTTTGTTTACTGTTGAGGTTTGTTTGTTTGCTTGCTTGTTGGTGTGTCTGTTGAAACAAGGTCTCACTGTAGTACTGGCTGACTCGGAACTCTCAGTGTAGAGCAGGTTGTCCTGCCTCTGTCTCCTGAGTGCTGGGACCAAAGTCATGCCTCCCTGAGCCCAGCCTTGAGTACTGAGTTTAAGCATAAAGATTAAGAGAAAATAAATGGTGGCACATGTCTTTAGTTCCAGCAGTTGGGAGGCAGAGGCAGGCAGATCTACATGAGTTCAAGGCCAGTCTCTGGTTTACAAATCTAGGTCCAGGTCTCAGCCGGAAACCCTACACAGAGAAACCCTGTCTCGCAAAACCAAGAAGAAAAAAAGGAATGTCTGAGATTGACCAAATAAAACAGAATGAGCTATGGAGAAACAAAGCTATATTATATAAATGCAGGTTTACTAGGAGCATCGAGGAAGGGGGAAGAAAAGGTGGGGAAAAGGGGCGATGGGACCAAGATGTCTGATTATATAGTGAAGGGCCTCTGGGAGAGAAGCCCCGCCCCTAGCTAGAGGGCGGGGCGGGGCAGCCACGCCCTGCAGCAATCTTTGGGCTACCCACGGTTTTTGCTGTTGTGAGAAACTATGGCAGGTTGATAAGATGCTCAGTAAATGGAGAGGGAGTTAAGGGGGATGTAGAATGAGGAGCTGGGGAGGAAATATGATGAGCTTTCTACATAGTCCTACAGTTTGTTTTTTTTTTCACAAAAACTTCATGAAGTGACAAACACCAAAGTTTCTACTCATTGTAGGTCTCCGGAGATGGCAGCGAGGTAGACCTGAGCTATCCGTGGCGTGATCCGTGGCTGTATGCCCCACACTCCAGAGAGGAAGGCAGGAGGATTTGAGTTCCAAGCCGGCCTTGGCTACACACCATATGCTGTCTCAAGCAAAACACCCCACCAGGGAGCTAGCTCAGTGGTGGTACACTTGGCTAGCAGTCACACGACCCTGGGTTCATTCTCCAGCATTTTGGGGAAATAAATAAAAAAATAACTTCTTGTAAGCTCTGTCCTCTAGGCCTTCCTACAGATTTTCAGGGATAAAATCGACTAGTAAATTCTTATTTTAACTGACTCTCCACTCTAGGAAAGCCTCTTAACTTTTTACATATGTTTTTGTGGCATTGGGAAGGGTGAGCTCTATCTACTTCCCGTTAAAATTTTGTATGAATAAAGACGCTGTTCCACAACAGTGTGAACTCTGAAGTATTCAGCGCGTATTACGATCTCCCCCACTTGAAAGGCAAGAGAACTGAGGTCAAACACCTCATCTATGGAACACAGGGAATGGACGGCAGAACTATCCGGGGACTCAGGACAGCCCTTGTGTGCACCGAGTCACTATCTAACGGACACAGCTAAACGTCATGCTGCAGCCTCTCTACTGAAAAGGAAAGAAGAACTGGCGCCTGGTTCCTTCCTGAAGGAGTAGAACCCAGATAAACGCTCAAAAATTGGTTGGTTTTCTGAGGCCATTTAATTGACAGGATTTACTAAAAGGAAGTGGACCACGTGGTGCCCACCGCTGCTCGACGAAGTTCCAGCATGTCTGTACCGTAGGTCACAGTTCTCCAGCGTCCTCTGATGTTGGAGGATGTTTTTGTGCACTATGTTTTCTGCCCCGACCCGCGGGACTCAGTTATTCCCGGGGCTCAAAGGGGGACCCTACCTGCAAGAAAAAAACGGGCGGGAAAGAAAGAGCAAGACCAGGCAAAATTTTGTCGAGGTGTGTTTATTGCTCGCTGGAGCTATACTTTTATATTTTTGAAATAAGGGAGCGACTACCCTCCCAAGCGGAAAAAGGGAGCAAATTATCTCTTGCATAAGTGGCACATTCCGTGGCTCTTCCTGGGATCGATAAAATCAGTCAGGGGGTGGTTTAGCAACTTCTCGGGAAGTCCCCTCCACGTGGTTGAAGTTGATTGCAGACCCTGGCGCCAGCGTCGGTCGTAACTACGTGCCTGGGATTCCTGGTCCCAGGCAGTTTTCAAATGCTGATTTCTGTACCCAGAGATCCGGTGGTGGGCGGACTTTGGCCTTGTCCTTATTACCAGGCATCCCCTTTCTTGGTTGTAAACATTGTTCTCCATCACCTTCTGATTGGTCAAATAAAAATCTGAACAGCCAATAGCTGGGCTGGAGAAAATAAGGCGGGACTTCCCAGCCCAGCGAGAGGGTCCTAGATAGGGACCAGAGAGAGAACTGACCTCTAAACACAGATGAAGAAGCAGTTGCCAGAACCAGACTAAACGTGGCAGGTATCGGGCCACGTGGCAGGAAGTAGGCGAGGCCAGTGTTGGAATAGCTGAGTAGCACCTAAAACTTTTTAATAAATATGAAGGTCTCCGTGTCATTATTCAGAACAAACAACTTGCATCTTACACTTTTACTTTCCTCTTTGATGATTTTTCACTATGTGTTATGGTAGTTTCCTTACGCCATTTCCGTTTGGGAAAGTTTGTATGGGCTTTAGTAGAGGGTATGGATGTATACAATGGCAGCCTCTCTAAACAAAATAAATCTTTGGGGGGAAAATCTCTGCCACTGTGGAACCATATAGCATGATAACTCTGTCTACCCCTACACCAGAATCCCCAGTGTGGCCCCCTGTTTGCACCAAGAATAAAGAAGTTAAAGATTCATGGTTCCAGAAACTCTTAGGCACTTATACCTGGTCCCAAGGATAAAAACACGCGTCTAGAGAAACATTGGGCCCAGACCCAGAGTCTGAGGCCTTGACAATTGAAGGCAAGGGTTCAGTTAATGAGTATAGAATAGTGCCCACTAGATCTTCCCTGGGCACGTGACCTACAGGATGACAGCAAGAGCTGGTGTGCCCCATGAGGAGCAGACTCTGTTAAGTTAGACTGGCGTGATCCCTCTGCCATATACAGGAGCTCACACTGAAAGAGTTAGGATGGTATGGCATAACGGAAAAAGTAAGATATCAAGACCTTCCCTTTGGGGAGTGTATGAGGAGAGCAGGCCTGTATTGTAAGACTAATGCACAAAGAAATGCAATTAGGAAACGGCTCAATGTTTGTAGCTCAAAGGTGCTACAAACCCTGCCCCTTGAAGAATGAAAATTGCTCTTACAGGTTCCTCTCTTAGGACTCGGTGTCTGGCACCCCCTGACCACAAAGGCCGAGAGCCCACAGGAGGAAATGTGAAGGACACCTGGCGGGGTTGATGAATTCAGAAACCATAGACTTAGGCGCTTGCTGAACGTACTGCTTTTGCTTCAGAGAAAAATACTGTGATAAGGTTGATTACCTCTTTCATTCTGTATATTAAAAATTAGGGCTAAAATCGGTTAAAAACAGTCTGAAGGATCGTATATTTCTTGGAATCTGCTTTTAACATTACCTGTGATTAAGCTACTAGGCAATATAGAGTATTCAAACAAATAAGCCTATGGGGCCATTCTCATCCAAACACTCACCAACCAAAGATAGAACACTTCTTGTATATAAAAAATGTTGATGATTATCATTCCTTTTATTAGGAACATAAACAAACAAGTTAGTTAGTAGCCTTTCCAGTTTATATGGCTATATTATTCTAGATGCTAAACTAAAAGATTAAATCTGAAACTACTTTTGCTTGAAATCCTATTTTCTTCTTTCTGTTTTGTTTGTTTTGAGACAGGGTCTCTCTGTGTAACTCTGTTCTATAGACTCACTCTATAGACCAGGGTGGCCTGAAATTCACAGAGGTCCTCCTGCTTAGGCCTCCTGAATGCTGAGTGCTGGGATTAAAGGTGTGTGCCATCACTGCCCAGTTTGAAATCCTAATTTTTTATAGTTATTTACCTTTACTTTATGGGTGTGAGTTTTTTGTTTTGTTTTTTGTGTGTTTGTTTTGCCTTTCATGTATGTATGTGCATTGTGCAAATGCCTGGTGCCTAAGGATATACACATATATATGTGCTGTGTGTGTGTGTGTGTATATATATATATATATATATATATATACACACACACACACATATATACATGCTGGATATGCTGGGAATCAAACCTAAGACCTCTGGAACAACAGCCAGGGTTGTTAACTGCTGAGCCATCTCTCCAATAAGCCTTAGGTAGTCTAAATTTTAAAGGCCAGAGGTTTTTCTTTTTAAATTTCAGTTATTTTTTTATTTTAATTTTTATTTATTCATTTTACATTCTGGGAGTCAGAATGGACATAGAAAAGTCCATACTTAATTTTACTGCTGCTGGTGGTGTGTCTCCATCAGAGTGAGCTGCCTACCTGATTCCAGTGTTTCTGTATGTGGTCTGTATTTCTTTGTTCTCTGTTCCCTCCAGCCGCGGCAATCCCAAAGCCCTGCAGGTGGAGGCAGTTAAAATTCACTGGAGATAAAGGAAGGACCCAATTTAAGATAGGGTAGCCTGAGCAGGCCTTCCTGAGAAGAT